ATATATATATATATATATATATATATATATATATAGCAAATCCATACTTTTCCACCCTATGATCTTAAACTATTTGACCAGTCTTTAGGATCTAAGATCATTTGTGTCGTTTCACATTTCATGTCAATAGTGTCATTCATATTGAGTTATAATTATAATTAATACTTATTCAATTTCAATTTAAGTATCTTATATGTTTGATTAAGCACATTACTTAAAAAGAGATATGAAAAGGCTTTTGAATCTTATAATTTTAAAGTAAAAATGTATGGTCTTAAATTTATCGTACAAAATATTGAAAGAAATTTCATAAATATAAAAAAGACATCCTTATGAGACAACAAAAAAAAAGAAGCAAGATTAAGATGGAGGGTGAAAAATTATAAGAGAGCCTAACGTGAAAAGCTCGAATTTTTAATAAGAAGATTAATATCTGAATAACTAAATTTATCGTCAAAGAATTTCAAATGAACCACTGACAGAAAACCGGCTCCGCCGGCCAATGCTTCAACAATATAGGGGGACAACATTAGATACATATAGTTTTTAAATGAGGAGTTACAAGATATAATGATCTTTTTTGAAGTTTGGAGAGGCATGTATGGCCATCTTGCCCCCCTTAACCATACCTACTTTGTAAACTAACTTAACCACTAATTAAATTGAGATTTTTTTAACTTTAGAAACTTCAAGATATGAATCCATATTCATTGTTCAAAGAAAAGATGAAAGTCATATATATATATTTGGTGTGTTGGGTGGTCAAAACTAATTAAATTCGTAAATTAAAATATACAGACATATATATTATTATGTACATTAATCAAGTTATAATTTTTATCGATTTTAATTCAATCCTGCAATAATAACTAATACATATGTAACTGTTAGATTGAAATAAAAGTTATTAAGTTTATATGAATTCATTATTAAACTTCTAGACCTCTCATTAGATAGTTAACCCCTAAGTTTATTTGTAGCTAAATTCCTTTGACATATAACTTTTGCACTATCTTGCTTTTAATTTATGGTCTCTTTTTCACACACATTTATAAGTGCATGAGCAATGACTTGGGATCATAACCTCCACTCAAGAAATAGAAAAAAAAGGGTTTTTCCCACATTAAAGGTACTGTTAAGAAAAAATAAAGTTTTTTAAGAATGTTTTTTATATTTTTTTCATACGTGATTGATTAAAATTTTTGAAAAATATTTTTTATAGCAAAACAAATTTCCTAAAAATTAAAAAAGAAATTCAAGTGAACAAAACAAGCTTCATAATTAATACGGCTTATAGTCCTCATCCCCACCACGATCATATCCCCTACACCCTCACTTCATTTCAAGGCAAATATCTTAATTTAAAATTTATAAGTTTGGAGTCTAATTTTTTAAATATATAGATTCTAAATTAATAACTTTTATTATATTTAGATAAATATAAGATTTAAACACAAGCACTGGATTTAGTTTAATTAACGCATAGTCGATGTTTTAGCTCTGTCGCTACCTCGTCATCTCAATAACAGTCTAGATTATATATAAATATTTTAAAAATAATATCATTTGTTTACTTACCAAACACGAATAAGAAAACTATTTTATCTTTAAAATATTTTTTTTAAAAATCATAAAAACACCACCCTATAAGAAGTAATATTATGTTTATAGTAAGGTTTTCCATGTACATGGAATTAATTAATTGAATAAACTTATCTATCAATTTTCAAGACACTAAAAAATGGAAATAACCAAATCCATAAGATACTTTTCAAACTTATGAGACAAATATTCCCTCAAAAATCATTATTTCCCAACTAAAAAATGTCACAAGCTGCACTGCTTTTGCCACCCCATGATTTTTTTTATATAAAAAAAGCAATTTTTCAGTTAATTTTTTTTATTTTTCCTAATTTGTTTTTAACTCTTTTTGGAAAATATAATAATGGATTATTTTTGTGAACTTTTCAACTACTATGGATTTATTGGTTAGTAGACACAGACACTTGTCTTCTTTTTAGTGGGCGGCCACCGTAATTTGGACTATTTCATCATCAACATCTCACCTTTTGCTCATCAACATCCCGAATCCGTCACTCGTTTAATAAAAATGATCTAATTTAACTTAATATGAATTTTAAAAAATAAAAAAATATTTTTTAATAATTAAAGTTATGTCAAAACTCAAATATATCAAAATGTCTTTAAATATTAGTATGACTTTAAACAAAGAGAAACGTTCTTTTCAAACAGATCAAAAAGAAAAATACATCGCTTCTTTTTTATACAAAAGGAATATTATTTGTTTTAGATAAAATTTTCATTGTCAATGCATTTTAAGTGGAATCGAGAATTAGATCGGATTTAGAGTGAATTGTTTCTAAATAAATTAAAATATTAATGTTTAGTTATTACGCCATTAAATAAGTATTGAAAATTGTATTTTTAGGTAAAATTATCGTGGAAACTAATTGGACAAGTTGAATAACAATGAACCTAACTAAGCAAAATTTGATGATTTTTGGAAGATGAACAAATAAATTGAATAATTTTAATGATAAATTATTATTAGTTGAGTGACCATTTAAACATTCGACTTTTTTTGGTACTATATAATTTATAGTCTTTAATTTAGATTCTTCGAAATTTATTCCCACATACTATGCTTGAATTATTTATTTTCACCTTATATTACTAAGGCTCATCCAGTATTTAATAACTATCTCATTTTACTTTAGAAAAGTTATATACTTGTTAGTTAGAACCATCTACGAAGTTAAGATTTTTAAAATATGGTGTGCAACTAAAAAAAAGGAAAATGTATTTATTGGAAATTGATTTTCTAGTCCCAATTAACTTAGAGAGACCACGAGATTGTCTAGTTACTAATATACTCTCAACATATACAAAAATAGAAAAAAATTAAGTAGGAAAAACTATATAAATAGATCATAAAACCTAAAATAATTATATATTTATATTTAAATTCAACGTGGTTCAAAAAATATTTGTTCTCTCATAAATAATTACAATACATATTCCCCTAATAAGATTGTAACTAATACTAAATCAGTATCATATACATATAGAATATAATATATAATATTTATTTAGTACTAGTTAAACGAAATTAATTGAAAATATATAGTTTAATTATTTATTTGAGGTATGAATATAAAGAAGTATATGTTGATAATTATTTCTTTTTGGAATATTAGCTTATTTTCCCATGCTTTTTAGGCAAATATCACTGTGGATTAAAGATGGAAAAATTGTATATAATGACAAATTAATAAATCAAATTAATTGTTATAATCATCCTTTGATTTAATTGTGCCCCGTAGTAAACTATTTGTCAGTCACCTCTCTCCTTCAAACTCTCGCTCATCACTCTTTTCTCTTGCTCCATCTCTCACTCGCTTCCTCTCACTTTTATACAAGCACAAGTGTAAAAAATTTGATTCTATTTGTACAAAGCGAGAGGAAATTGTATAAATACATATGTTTTTGTTTTCCTCTCTCCCCTCTCCAGTTCTCGCTCGCCACTCTCCCTAATATCGCTCGCCACCCTCGCCTCTCTCGCTTATACAAACAGAAACGAAATGTATAAATTGTGTATTTTTTTGTATAAAGCGAGAGAAAATTGTATATACACATGCAAATACATATATTTTCGTCCTGGAAACTTATAATTATACAATAAAAACACTCCCCTTCCCAGTTTCTTTTGTCTTTCTCTTTCTCGTTTTATACAAATTCAAATTGTATATAATTTCTCTCTTTCTCATTTTATACAATTCAATTCAATTGTATATTTCCTGCCGAAGTCTCTTTTGTCTTTCTCTCTTTCTCATACAAATTCAAATTGTATATAATCATTCGATACACTTATAATTATACAATTCGTTTTGTACAATTCTCTGCCAAGGTCTCTTTGTCTTTCTAGTTTTATACACTTCGTTTTATACAATTCGCTTCAATTGTATATGTATAGCGAATTATACATATATATGTTTACTATAGAGTGTAATTATGCAAACTTTGCTATAGCATACAAATATAAATTTTATATTTGCTATATGTCATAGTTGTCCATTAAAGATATTACCTCATCTCTTAAGTGTATATATTTAGGCCTCTATTCGGCCCAAATTCGAAAATTGAGCCTTGGAATGGGCCACCCTCAGTTGTAGAAGCATAACTCAGGATATTATGAATACAAATTAATATCTCAAACATACCTAAAATTAAAGGTCAAACACAAAATAAAGATAAAAGTACAAATAACTCAACCGATTAAATTAAAAATAATTAATTACTCTATCTATTAAAAAAAATGTCTTAATTTCTTTTTTAGTCTATTTTAAAAAAATGATCCATTTTATTTATAGCAACATTTTAATTTCAACTTTCTTCATATTTGGTGTAACTGTAATTTAAAATCACAAAATTATTTTTTATTTTCTTTTAACTTTTATCCAAGTCAAACTAATAATATAAGACCTTGTAACCACTAAAAAGATTAAAAAATATAAATAGTGAATTGAAAAATCAATTTATTATAAAAATATCCACTTTGCACACTATAACATTTATAATGTTACAATCACTTTACAAGGACAAGTATCACCAACTAATGTAATTTTAGAGATATGAATTTCTCAAATAATGACTCAAACTAATTATTATCTCTCGTAAAATTACTTAAAAGAATATGATTTTCTGAAATACTAACTATCACATTAGTAATCAATTTATAATCTTTTCAATCAAAGGGAGCTAGAAATTTGAATATGAGTTCGGCAAATTCACTAGCTCAATAATGTTTGCTTGTTCAAAATTCTATTATTAACCCTTGAAATCGTTCACATTAAATTCAGAACTCATAAAATTAAAATTCTAATTTTTTTTTCGTCAATTGACAATACACTTAGAGTGGAATTTCCATGAAAGTGAGAGATGAGTATGAAGAGGAAATCACGTGGGTAAAGCTTTCGACAATGGCGAAGAATGGGCATTTTTTTTTCCTTATAAGGTAATACATGCATGCACGCAAATGGAGATAAGATCTCTTTAAGAAATTCGATACCTTATCAATTTCACTGAAGCATATCGATGAATTTGTCAATTGCGCCTTTTATTTCCTGTTCATTCGAGTATCAATTGAAAACGAAAAAAAGGGATTTTTCTCTTTTGTTCGATGTTCGTGTCGATTTCAATTTTTATTGGAGTATAGTTTTGTCCTTGTATTATGATTCTTATGCTTATTAGGTATTTGATGAAATGCTAGAATTTTGTTAATCAAGTAAAATTTGAAACTGCACATCTAGACACCTCATCTCATCTGATCGTCATTGTGTTTCGTGAATACTGTGATACGTAAATTTTGGAGGTGTATAGATGATCATTTTGTAAGTTGGAATATTTAATGAGAGACGAGTTGAAATGCGTAGATATGCAATACTTTTGGAGGTGTATAGATGATCATTTTGTAAGTTGGAATATTTAATGAGAGATGAGTTGAAATGCGTAGATATGCAATACTTAAAGTTAAAGTGCTTACTTGTCAGTCAAGTTTGAGTTTCTGTATTATGCCTGTAGTACAATAGAGTACCAATTTTCTATGTGAACCTTTATGAACTTTCATAGGGCAAGTAGTGGTTGTCTATATCATTTGTATAGTATTTCAACATTAATTCTTATAGGATGGATATATACTTGAAAAAGCTGCAATAATATGGGTATCTGATTGATTTACAGAACATTTTGTATTGAACCTGAAGGAATCTATCATTGCCAACTGACTAAAAGAAATCGTTTATTGATGTCGTCCTTTTTCTCTTATCTTTGTTGAAGAGCTCTGAATTGAGAAATAACGCTAGATTTTCTTATATTTTTCCATCGTTGTTCATCACCAAGGATTGCATTTATCCTAGCGATTGTTCGTGCATGTATTTAGACACATTTCAAAGAACTTATGATGGTTTGTGTGGTTAAACACTTCATTTTCAATAAAAGTGAATTCAGACGTGAATTGTGATAATTGCTTTTGATCTGAAGAAGTATTCACTATATTTCTGGAGTAGAAAATTGAGGAAAGTGCATTAGTTTTAGATATATGGAACATTCAACTGCTAAAGGTTACTCATATTTGTACTGCTAAAAATTATGCAACACAATACATTAGGTATTAGACCAACCAATGGTGTTACGGTATTGTATATAATCTACGCGTTGTTTTATTCCTTCCAAAAGGAGCATCAGCTCAGTTTCCCACATGTGGGTGTCAGATTGAGACATAATAATTCATGTTTTTACTTCTATGTGGAGATGAGATCTATCAATTCCAACTGAAACCATTTAAGTCAAGTTGCTTGCAATTAGAAGCAGCATCAGTTTGATCATCTGTGTTTAGGTCCAGCTTCGGAGCAAAGTAAGGCAGCTTATACTCTTGTGGTGACACCTGCTTCTCTGGTTTCGTTGAATCACTTCTGTCAGTTGCGGTTTGGTGAAAAAGTTTGATGTCTGCATCTATTCCGTTAAGTCTTTCATCAACATAGCTACTGTTAACATTCCGTTTTCCTCCTTGGATTCCAACATTCATTGATAAGTTGCTCCAGTTTGTTTCTTTGGCAAATTCTTTTTCTGTATCCTCATCTATTTTGGGAAACAATCTGTTTTCCTTGAGGTCGTCACGCCATCTTAGTGCAGTCTGCTGTAACCTGGTCTGATTTTCAATTTCTTCTGTACATGGTCGAAAGTTTAAATTCCTCAGGCCAAGTTGGTTATTATGCATTTCCTGCAGGTCCCTCAAGGGGCCTTCAGAGGAGGTTAAGCAGCTATCCATTGAACAATCTGCTAACCGCTGGGTTGCTTGTGTTTGTGGAGTGTGAAATCCTGAAAGTTCTTTTATCTCTGAAAATGCTGAATTCAGGCATTGGTTGGATACTTTGGACACCAAATCAGACAGTTGAACCTTAGCTGCCTCTAATCCAATTGTTCCCAAGTTTTGTGTTCCAAGAGTTTCTTGTGCTTTCTCAAGCACAGCCTGCAAATATTTCCCTTGAGCCTCTATCCTTAGCTGTAAATGTCGTTGCACCTAATCAGTTCAATTAGGCCTAATTTAGAATGCAGCAAGGAAAACTTTTCATCGACTTGTAAAGTTTTGGGTAGAAGATAAGTTATGCAGAGTCATAATTTTTAACAAAGTCTTAAAACAAAGCACTAAAAGTTGCTTAACGTATCTTCAGAAACTAGCAAGGAAAATTTACCGGTACTAGTAAAATTTGGCTAGAAGAAAACTTTATGGAGGTGTACATTGTTAAATCGTTTATTCTTATAACAAAATCACTATATTAGTTTAGGACTATTCAACTACATGATCAAGCTATCATTTTGTTGTCTTCTTTTCCACAGCTATGAGAAATTGTTTCTGGTTATCAATTAACCAGTGAAGTCTTCTTTCATGAAAAAGAAAATGCCTTATAAAATTACCATTATGTATTGCTTCTAGCTTTTCTTCAAACTATGACATACGAGGTCTCATCTTTTGCTACTTATGGTTCTAACATCTCTTATATAAGTTAAAATTTGCAACAGTTTCTTACCTCAAGCTGCTCATGAAGCCTTCTTTGGACATCAATTTGCATTTGTATTGCTTCACTTATTGGTATATTGCTGGACAAGAAAAAAATTGGTTGATATAGTGTAAGTATGGTTCAGACATGAAGTAGGATGACATTATTAACTCAATTTTGTTTGTCTTACTTGTTTGGTTGGTGTCCAATGCTTGGATTGCTCTTGGGGCTTCCAGTGCTCTCACATATTTTCTCCATACTTGCTGCTGCAATTATTTATAAACAATAAATCTTGGAATGTTTTCTCTCTGTAAAACAGTAGAAGAAGCTTTTTGGATTTATATATTCTTGAAAATTAATGGAATTCTTACCAGCTTTATTCACCCCGCTAATATTTGCTTGTCCATGGTGGTTCTTACTTAGCCTGTATTTCTGTGCAGCCAAAATAGAAGATTAGATTTTCATTTATTACTCAAAAAGTCTTGAATGTCAGGTTTGTTCTTCAATTATTTTGACATAAACAATTTTAAAGACCTTTGCAACCAAATGTTTTTTGTCCCGAATGGTTGTGTGGAAGCTATGATAGAAGCTTTTCAAGGCTCATTCTGTCCGTCTTGAAATGTCTAGTTTCTTAACATGTAAATTTGTGAACCATGGAAGTGGATAAAAAGTTAAAAACCAACCTGAAGATGGCTCTTTAAGTGGTACAAGGTTAGTCCCTGGATCCCCATAAGTTTCAGAACTGATTTTGGTGTGGCTTCTGCAATAGAAGAATGGTGGATATTTAATATCTCAGTCATAAGCAACATACATCTGGTGCTTATTCAAATTAACATATTTATGTGCACTTACTGTCTGCCCCACCAAGTTGTGTAACTGCTTCTATAAACCTCTCATGGAGGTCTGGTGTCCATTTCAATCTTGGTTTAGCATCCGTTGAAAGAACAAGCCCTGAGTCTCCATTGGCATTCCCACCTTGTAGGAACAGATGCCTTTCAGGGAAAGACATTCTTGTTGAAGGGTGCATGTTGGGAGCTTGATGGTGATGATGGTACATCTTCTAGCCTTGGGTATGAATATTTGGTTATCAGCGCGTAAGTCTTATGGTAAGATTTATAGGCATGATGGATGAATGAAAGTATATATCGCGTACCTAGAGGGAATCTGATGTCGCGTTCAGTGGCTCCAGTCTTGTCTTACTCTTGAATTACCAAGTAATGATTCTTTACTATTCTTCACTGTATATAGCATTGTCTTCCATTTGGTTAAATAAAGTTTTCTGCTACAGCTCAATATATCTCCTTGTTTTTCTTTGACCAAATCCAAACAAAAGACCCTACCCTGATAAGCAAATGAAGAGGGGGTGGTACAAAAGGCATAGCATCTTGGACAGGTCCAGCGGAACTAGATATGCTGGATCTAGGGTAGGTTCTGTGGGTTCAACTTAACCAATTGTTTTTAGGTCGAACCATGTCTACATAGGAAAAAATCATTTGAAATATATGCATATATTCATTCTGAACTCACCGACTCTAAATCCTGAATTTGCCTCTAACTCTAGACCAATTTAATTTTCATACCAGCTTAAGATAAAAAAATCTTGTCCTTCCAGTTTTACACATTTGTGGGTCCTGAATGCACGTTCGCTTTCTAATCTAAGGGAAAGGCATTATGCATTATATTCCTCTGCATTATAAGTTCATGAAACACTTACACACCTTACAATAGGTAAAAGAATTGATCCACCAATGACTTTTTCCTATGCACATATATTCTTTATCTGGCAAAGTTTGGGAACCATATTCCAAGAATTAATAGAGGAATATTTTTTTCCCTGATGGAGATTGGAGGAATCCACTATCTATGATGTCCTGAAAACCTACAAAACCATCTTCCTTTTCAAATGGATGATTCTGTTGACTGGAGCATCTAGTACTGGGTATTAGATACATGCAAGAAAGAAAAGGCGAAAAGGTAGGAAATGGTTGAGATGCTTCTCATATTGAACACCTAACCAAGAACAAATAATACTTTTTTTTCTTCAGTTTCAGTTTGTTTAGTTGTGGACATGATACATGCAATTAGTTGAGGATACATATTTTATCATGTCAGATTGACTATAGCTTGTCTTGGCAAATAAAGATAATATGAAGTCTTAGATTTTCTGAATCTCGTGCTGTATCAAATCCTCTGCTACTCATACATTGCTTCTTATTTATATGTCAAGCCATGTCGTGCTATTCAATTCCTTTCCCCATATCTGATAACTCTAGATGTATACTGGCATATATTCATTTGTGATATGAGAAAAACATCATCTAATTTTATGAAGTGTAATCTCCCTTCGAGGTCCTGCATGAAATTCTTGATCGGAAGGAGGGTGGACAACCTCTACATGGTATCAGAACAAGCATGCCGGCATTGGATGGTTAATGATTTTAGTTGCAATATCTTGGCCTGTACCTAGTGATATGAAACTTCCTGAATATCTTGAGCATCCTTTCCATTCTATGCTATTTTAAAATATGTGAATATTGAAAAGGGAAGAAGAAATAAAATAAAAAGATATAGTGGAGAGATGCTTCTTCGCTTTGTCTGAAGGCTAGGAATCAAATGAAGAATACTTTCTTGTTCTCTCCTTCGATAAATTTGGTACTTATTCTGCGTGGATAGCCCTAAAATAGAGAGAAGAGGTCCTCTAGCTAAAAGTTTTCTATTCCTTTTGGTATGAAATGACCCCTTTCTAAAAGAAGAAATAAAGGAATGTACTTCCATACTTGTTTGATGGAAAACATGACAACTCGCAAATGGAAGATCCCAATTTACCTTTCACTTAAGTCTTAATTGGATTTGGAGGTACCCTTGGTGAATCTATATATCCTGGCCTTACAAGATAACTTTACATTCTTTTGTGCTGTTTATGGGTTAAAACGTGTCCTTACACAACATAAAGATACGGGTTGCTTTGTTTGTAATCATAGTTCTATTTCTTTGGACGTATGTTGAATATCTAGTTTTCTTCTAAAATATAACATCCTTATAATTTGTGTAACTCTTTGTTCCCTTCTTTTTATCTGCTAAGTATTTCTAGGGAAAATTAGGGAATCGTACTAAGCTTCTTTTGAAAGGCTTAGCCTATTTTGCACCTCTGTTTCGTTTACTTTGTTTTATAAGTGTATATCTGCATCATATTTGCAGATAGGAATAAATTAGAGACTATTACAACGAGTAAAAAAGAGTATGGTGTATGTAGAGATACTGTATGCAGCTGCTTAGTATAAATTGAGCTGTGCAGCATTTCAATCTATAGTATAGATATAGATGATATTATTGGACAATTTTTTCAAAGGAGAATCTTGTTTCTCTTTTGTAATCATTTTCCATCAAGGAATCGATCCTCGAGATCACTAATACTTTGAACATTATCTTGGATCAGTTCTAATTTCATTTAATGTTATGATATGTTAGTTGAAAATCATGACACACCCTTTTTTTCATGTTGCTAATGGATTAAATCCTGGATATCAATACAGCCTATTAAAATAAGACAGAATATTATCAACTGATGAACAGCCAATGTAGAATAAATTCGCATGGAGCTTAGGGGTCTGTCTACCCATGGCTATTGACAATATAAGTTAAAATGTGCAGCTGTTAACCAAAATGAGGTTATTGCTTTGAATATTTTTTAAAAAATGCCAGGTGTCGAAAGGGAAAAGAATTTGACATTATTATTGGTAGTTTTATGTCATGTATGTTTGATTAGGTACGATTTTGATAGAAAATAAGTGAGAACTCCTCATTTGAAAATGATATGCATATTTTGTTTTCAGTTGAACTTTTGCAGAAGAAAAAAAGAATCAGTTGATTCTGATATGATAGAATATTTTATGGAGTTTGGAGGAATGCATTTTGTGAGCAGTTTAAAAGGAATCTATCACAACCTTCACTTAAAGTGGCGAAAAGAATCACAACTGTTTTGCTGGCATGGTGGCTACTGGCTATGATGATAAGTAACTTTTGTGATCTCATGGTTTGCTTCTTATCATTAATCAATGTTTAAGAGTTTTTAAGTTCTTGATGTTCAGCAGACGTTTTTGCACCGTGAAAATGGTTGGTTAATAACGTAGTTTTATTAGAACTTGTACCTGCTACCTCTCATCAACACATGTACCAAGTGACTGTCTATAAGGGCTTAAACATATTGAACTAGAAAGACTTAAAATATCGAAATAAGTTATCTAGAATTCCTTCTTCTTTAATGTGTTTCTATACATATATATGTTGGAAATTATGTAAAAAAATTCTTTCTTTAAGTACTCTTTTCTTAATTTTTCGAGGGACCACCTCAGCTTCTCCAAGGGAAAGGATGAACAGAGAGGACTGCGCATTGGGGAGCTTTTCTCCTCGCAAGGTAAACAAAACCTAGTACTACCAATATGTAAAGAAATAGATCGTGGGTCTAACTCGATCGCAAAAGCTATTTATGATGGGAGGATTGTCCAAGTCCATATAAGGAGACACACTCATATCATTAACCACCGATGTGAGACTTTTTCATTCTTCAACACAATATTTTTAACCCTTCAAGAAAATTACTTGTAATGTTATTCATCCAGACAAACTTTCATTTGATAAGTGTTGAATTCTTTTCTACTTTTTGTATTCTAAGTCTTCCTTCCCTTATCGTAAACAATGAACTTTTGTTTGATGATATGCGAGATTTGTAAGTAGTTTTATGTTTCCATATCAAACCGTATCTGCTACAACCATGTTGTAACTTTGAGTTCATGTCTCTTTGAAGCAGGGGCGGAGGCTGGATTCCAAAAATGCTAAAATGTCACATCTGAACCAGCTTTGTAAGTTGCCACTACTCTAGCAGCTTTCCTTATGTTAATGAGATTAAGGATCAATATATAATCAATATATATACACATTATTAAAATATTCACCTACACACCGCGTAACTTTTCAATTGGGCCAATGTGGCTCTGCCACTGCTTTAAAGGACGCAAAGCGCTTTTCGAGAATGTCAAACAAAAGTACTTAACTTATCTTTAGTGTTGCCAGAAAGCCATGACTGCTGTTTCTCTCTTTGGACATGCAGTTTAGAGTTAGAAATAGACTTGGCTTTTTACCATCCAATCTATTTTGTTCCTCTAATTATCCTCTACTGTTTCCTTTGTGTTACTTGCAAATGATATATTCTCCACTTTAAATAAGAGAACATGTGCTCTTGTTCTTTCTTGTACTTTCATTTCCTTTTGAGGTTAAGTAAAAATTTTACTTCGAAAAAACAAGATGAAACTCACAAAAAAAGAAAGATAAGAGCATTTAGAATCAATCATTTAGTCAATGATTGGTTAAAAATTGAAAGAAAAAAAAAGATAGAAATGACCACAGAATGATATTCCCTGCAAGGAAAAAGGGATTCTGTTGTGAGGAGATAATATAAAGTTGGATTCTGGGGAATGGAATTTTAGAATCTTAACTCAAAACTGAAGCCATAGGTTGTACTCGTCCTAAGGTCAAGAATTTCTTGGCCGATATTTCACATTCGAATGAAATGGACCTGAATAAAATTAATCTAAAACATAGTAGGGTGAATACTTATTCGTGTTCATATTATTCGATTCCAACTAATGCAGAAATAAGAATAGTTGATTGCTTGTTAATTAGTTGAAACATTTTAGATGCTCCTAAACAAACAACATGCATATAATCTATGATTTTATCCTCCAATATAATTTGCCCAACATTTTAAATGCTTTGAGATATATTTATTTATGTTTTGCTTATAATAGAAAGAACATAAGGAAGAATCAAGGTCTGCTGGTCATAGGTATTATGGTGTTGCTTTGAGAAGGAAACTGTGACAGAAAACTGTTTGTGTATAATTTTAATTTTTTTAATGATTATTTTCAATATACTTCATTATGAATATACCTCATAGAGATTTGTTAGTGTAAGACTTCAATCCTATAAAAAAAAAAAATTGGAGTCTTGACCTGACTCTACTGTACAGGAAATCCATCTATCTTATATTTGTATGGTTTAGCTTTAGTTGTTTTCACTAAATAGATTCTTTGAGACCATATATTCTAATAGAGCTAGAAGCACTTCATTATAATGTTTGTTTCTACAAAAGCACCACTTGTCTTTGGTTTTTATTCGGTATTCAGTACTCGCTTTGAATCCCCGAATTAGGAAAATTTATTTATCTAAAGGTTGAAGAACTCTATCCATCTCACCACAGCCCAAATGGTTGGACTCACCACTTTAGAGCCACTTCAATTCAAGCCAAAGACCTACCTTATCTTTGTGAGATTTGAATTATATGTGCCTAAGTTAGTGGAAAATGCACCATTAGGGCTTAGGCAGTGGAAATTTCGGTAACATGGTCTAGTGGTCAATGAAGTGGATTGAAAATCATAGGTTCTCAGGTTTAAATCTCAGCAAAAGCGCAAATTACTCAATCCTGACACAGAGAGGTAACGGCAATAACAAACTCTTATGAGTCTGGCAATAACAATGAGTATAATATGAATTCCTTAATGAGGATTCTTGAGGAGTGTGTTAACTCATAAGTGAATTCAGTTAGCCTCGAAAATGGATGGTGCTTAAGTGCTCAATCTAGCTACACCTGGTGTCTGGGCTAGTGCCTGACCCCGATAAATAGGAGGCAAAAATACTAGGTGATTTTTTAACATGTGTCTATCCTTGTGGGAAATATATAACATGTTTTTGTGGAATTAATTGAAGTGCATTCAATCTAACGCGGACACTATAGGCAGAGATAACAAGTATCCTATGAAACTACTCGAGATTCGTGCCCATAGTAACAAATATTCCCTAAAACATTTTGCATCATTTATGTGACTAATTCAGCTACTAGAATATGAGATGATATCATTAGATACTCATTGCTACACAATTAGGACCCTCTAATCTTTTATGCAATTGGAACTTAAGAGCGTTGGTCCTTGTTATTTTAACTTTGATTATCATTCAAAAAGGAACAAAATTATGCACATGTCAAGTTTCAATTTGTGTCTCTAAATTTGATCAAATCAATGCTTTAGAATCAAATGCTCTACAAAATATTGTTAGATTTCTCCGCAATTTTGAGATTCTAATACAGGTGACACTCTCCCATGCATTTACAAGAGGAACTCAGTTATATGCTGATTCATGTTGTTGGTTTTTTATAATTATGGTGTTTGGATCAGTTTGTGTGTACCTCAATTAATTTAGTAAAATACTTTTGTTGGGGAGTTTGTTCAAGGGCAAACAAAATAAATTCTACTAGTTTATGGTCTAATTACATGCTTTTCTGCGAGTTTCAAAATTATCATTCGTGTTAGATTTTGATTCTCAAATATATGTATCTGAATTGTCCAGATACATGTATTTTGAATACATGAGTTCGAAAATAGGTGTTATTTATTTTAGATACACTTTGTTTATCTAAGTGGACTCATATATGCATGTACTGCTGCCTCTCTCGCTCGCTTCTTTTCATATTTGTTTGTATCTCAACATGTATATTTGTATGTATTTGAGATACAATAACTCTCTTGCTCGTCTACCTCCTATCTCATATTTCAGAGTGTGTATAATAACAAAATATATGTATCTAAATGTATCTAATATGAAATTATTAACTAATGAGACCGCAAGCATAAATAGGTGTAAAAGTACAACTTTGACATATATTTTATTCATCAGACAAAAATTTCTTACCTTTTGACCCACTTTGGATGCATTTTACAATTTACCATATCTTACTGAATTGTGCTATCATAATAAATATAATATTTAAATAGATTACATTATTTTTTATCGCTTTATAATATCACATACCAACAATTTGAACAATAAGCTTCTAATGTTATAACAACCAAAAAAAGATAAAAGGTAAGTTATCGTAAACAAATAAAATGATTAAATAAAAAGTAAGAGTTAAGGGAAAGAATTTCTATCCCATCGAATTGATGATTACATAAAAATCATAAACTTTTCATTCTTCTATAACAACAAATCCAACACTAATAAGTAACATATAACAATGTTTAAACCATAATCAAAATAAATAACATTATATTTAAAATAATAATAACGATAACGTAACAATTAACAACCATCCAAAAACAAGTTGTTACAAAACATGGTACCTGCCCCAATGAACTTTACGTGTGGAAAAAAACAAAAGATATACTACTCCCAATCAATGAACAATAATATAGTTTATTATATTGTCAAATATAATATATACTAGTACTAGAAAATATGGGGTTTGAAAAAATGGACAATTCTAGTTATGTCTCATTAATGTTCTTAATTATTTCAATTCTTCAAAATTAAAGTCAATCATAGTGACTAATGACCAAATCCTAGATTAAATTAACAGCAAGGATATTATAGCTCAAGAAATTAAAAACAAAATTAAAAATATTCATATTGACTAAATTAAGACCATCCTTATATATTTTTTCCCCTTGATATCAATTGAGCATTTTATTCATCTTTTTGCAAAAAAAAAGAAAGAAAAAAGAAATATATATATATATATATATATATATATATATATATATATATATATATATATATATATAGTATATATA